TATACCTCCTCAATGGATAACGTGTCACGACTATACAGAATAGTATCACGAAATGACGAAAAAGAATTGGGCAGCGAAGACAACAGGACCAAGGCTAGATCCTCTTCATCATATTTTACCTCCAACGTCTCCAAATCTGCAACGATCTCCTTGAACACAGCAAGGTGGTCCTGTAGTGACCCTCCTTCCACCATGCGATGAGAATACAACCTCTGCTTTAGAGTCAGTTTGCTCGTCAAACTCTTTGTCATGCACAACTGCTCCAGCTTGAGCCACAAAGTAGCGGCTGTCTTCTCCTTCAAAACATCTTGCAGCAAATTATTGGATAAATGAAGTTGGATTTGCGCTAAAGCCTTCCGATCCTTCTGTTGTTTCTCCTTCATAGACAAGCTTCCTGGCATCCTATCAAAACCCAGCAAAGTATCATCAAGATCCATCTGTATCAACACAGCTCTCACCTTTACTTGCCACAGCGAAAATCTTGTATTGCGATCCAATAGCGAAATTTCATACTTCAACGAATTCATCTCTAAAAAATCTCAATCAAATCATGAAGAACTTGCAACTTGCAACACCCAAAACTGAAAAACTACCGAACATGCAAGGGGCAAAATAGTTCAAAACCACAATTTTGCCCAAAACTGAAATTGGACACCACCACAAGGTCCGTCTCGTCGTCCGGAGAAAATTGCCTGAAGACACCATCATCGAAAAATGCCTCACGCGCCACCACTCGCTCGCCGGAGTTATCACCGTCGGCGACCGGTTGGAAAACGCGCCGACAACCTATGACCTTTTTTGGACCGTTTCTGTCTGCTGAGTCCATTGGTGGTGTTCATTTCTCCAAACTCTTTTTGGTTTGACCAAAAAAAAAACAGATCCGGCAGAAAATCAAAAAATTGGACAGATTCGTTTTCTGATTTTCTGGTAATTTTCAGACGATTTTCCAATCAGTTTCAAGCCAAAAATCCACCAATAACCCCGCTCTAATACCACTTGTTCAGACCGATTGTCCAATAATGTAGGAATTGATATTTAATGAATTCCACTTGTTGTAATTGAAGTAATTAACAAGATCACAAAAAACCACGAACAAGATTAAAGTAAAGAAATAAAAGAACTGGCAGAGAAACGATGTTATTTTATTCAATCAATGAAATGAGAGAATTATAGCAATAATGGCTTCTTCATACTGAAAGAGGAACCTTGTATTTATAGTATAAAATCTAGCCCTAAAAGAGTCCCAAAAAAGGTAAGAAATCTAATGCAATTAAGACTCCTATTTGAGTAACATTTCTAACACTTTGGTGGTATTCTGACATTGTTCTGCATTTCCTCCATCAAGATCCTTGAATATTAAAAGCAGCTGGTCTCTATTTGAAGTATCTGATTCCTGGATTACTTGGCTATGGGTTGTTGCAAAATATCTTGAGATTTCTTCAGACACAATCAATTGTCGTACCGTTGGTTGTGTGCCAATTGCTCCCTCTAGCCCTCCATATCAGCATCGCCTATGCTTTGGTTCATTGGACTACAGTTGCATATAAAGGAGCAACATTAGCAGCTTCAATTTCACTCTGGATCTCGGTCCTCATGTTAGGCTTGTACGTGCTTAAAGCAAAGAAATTTGAAGAGACGTGGAATGGATTCAAGTCAGAGTCTCTCAGTCACATCTTCTCGAACTTGAAGATAACCCTGCCTTCAGTAGCTATGGTGTGGTTAGTCTCATATTCCAATCGATCTTCTCATTAATTCGAACATAGGCCAAGTAACATTTAATACTTAAACTTGTCTCGGTGAACTTATTTTTCTCATATTTTAATCAGTTTGGATTATTGGGCTTTTGAGATTTTGGTTTTGTTGGTTGTGTAAGGAATTTTTAAACGATCGTGTGGACTTATATGTGTAAATTGTTGTGTATTAAATTAAAGGCAATCAAATTCGATTGAGCCCAGTTAAAAGTGATTTAATAAGGTTTCGATTTTGGGTTGTTATGCATCCAATTAAAGTGTAGGTTCTATATGTGTAGAGACCGCGCCCAAATTCCTAATTCTATGATGAGCCGAATTAGGTCAAAGGGCATCGCTATATAAATACGGTTATGGTCCCCAAGTAACACGTATCTTTTGCTTATTCTATTCTATCTCTCATCGCCAGAAAGAATTACGGGCTGCGTGTAGATTTGGAAGACTATACCGCAGGATTCAATTATTACAAATAAACATGTCTGATTCAGGTACGCTTTCGCTATAATTTATGTATTTCTTGATGATTTAACATGAAAGATCCAGTGGCTTAAGATAATAAATTATCCTACAAGTGGTATCAGAGTCTTTTCATGTTGAATCATTGAGAATCGAATAATTTATTTGGTTCTTGCAATACATTTTATGGAGTTTTCAGATTTGACAATTTTAGATCTTTATTTTGTTGAATTTGAAAACTTTTGCGGTATATATTTCGTTATTATCTTTCATATTTGGATTAAAGACTTTGGAATTTCTGATTAGGAATTTAAAATTACAGTTTTTCAGATTCAGATTCCAGATTTTTTTTAAGTCTACAGATTTTGTGGATTTAAGAAAAAAATGATTCAATTTTTTATTGCATTGGTGGTAGCGTTCTCGTGTTGCTGCGCAACGCAATAGCTCAGCAGCGTGAGCTGCTGCTATAGCAGCTCCTGGCGTTGTTGTAGCGTCGGGGCTATTTTTGGGGAGGTGCGCTGGCTCCTAATTTAGCTACTGGCAGCGCACAAAGATGGAAGAAAAAAAAATTTGTAGTGTTTTCAATTTTTGGGTGATTTGGGGGCGGGGGCCTCATGTGCAAATTAGATAACTTGAAGCCCCTTGGTTGCAATTTGGGTTAGATTTATAAAATTAAGGTATATTCAAGTTTGGGCCTTTAAGTTTTGGATTTAATAATTTAGTCCCTAAAGTTTAAAAATTAATTAATTTGGGCCATTAAAGTTCTGAATTTGATAATTAAAGCCCTCAAACTTTAATTATTAATTTCAAATTGGCCCCAAACTTTATAACTAATTCAAATTGACCCCTAAATTTTCAAATTTTCAAAATTTGATCCCTAAAGTTTTGCATTGGTCAATTTTTGGCCCCTAAAGTTTTAAATTTGTTCTAATTGATCCTCTAAAGTTTTGAATTAATTAATTATGGTCCCTAAAGTTTCAAGTTTATTAATTGTAATCCCTAAAGTTTGGAATTAATTAAATTTGCCCCTTTAAAGTTTTGAATTATTAATCCTAAGGACCCTAAAGTTTAAAACTAAGTCAAATATGCAAAATTGGGGATTCTCTTTCTCAAATTTTGGTACTAAGGACTCTTTTTTAAGAGATATAATGTTCGAAAGTTAATTAATTGAAGCAACATGTTGCCAAAGCAACCTCTCTTGTGGAAATTGATTAACCTAGAATATTAAAAGGTGTTTGTGCATGTGTTATTCATGGGAATATTGATCGGCACAAAGGAAGGTTAATATTTAGCCAAATACATGTGCACCTGTGGTGATAAACATGTGACGATTATTTGGTCTAATGTGCGATCAATAAATCGGTCCAAAGAGAGGTTTATTGATTGACACATTATTTTATTGTCAATGTTTGATCACTACGCCAAGAGTACCACTTACAAGTCAATATTTCTATCCAAAGACTAGATATTGATGTTGTGCTAGGTATTTTGTTATGGCCCTTACCACTATTTGAGATTATTATTATTTGCATATTAAAGATATTCATGTGAGCTATTCGTAATAATTGGTCTCTAATTCAATTTCAAGCTCTACTGCTAATAACTCTACTAGCATTCAACTCAATTCCAATCCTTAATGGCATGAACTTCAAGCTATGGCAAGAGAATGTGTTGATCGTTCTTGAAGTCATGGAGCTATACCTTACTTTACGGGTTGATTAACATACTAAACTTACTGATGAGAGTACCTCTGATAACAAGAGGGAGATGGAAAAGTGGGAAAGATCGAACTGCATAAACTTAATGGTCATGAAACGTGCTATTCTAAAACCATTTCGGGGCACTTTGTCTAATGAAGTAAACACGTTTAAAGTTTTTCCTTAAGGATCTTGAGAAGAGATTTGCCAAGAATGAAAATGTTGAAACTAGTACACTTTTGGCAAACCTTACTTCAATGAGGTATAAAGGAAAAGGGAAAACCAAGTGATAAGGAAGCAGCGGATACAGCATCACAAAGGAAACAGCATAAGGAACAAACTGAAGGTGGTTGTTTCTTTTGTAGAGCTACAAGTCATAAGAAGAAGAAGAATTGTACCAATTATCACGCATGGCATGTGAAGAAATGTATTCTTCTTCATTTGGTTTGTTCTGAGGTTAATTTAACTTCAGCATCTAGACACACATGGTGGATAGTTTTTGGTGCAACAACTCACATTAGTGTGTCTATGCAAGGTTGCCTGAGTTTCCAAAATCAAGTGATGGTGAAAGATACATCTATGTTGGTGATAGTAAGACGATGAAAGTAGAGGCAATAAGAAAATTTAGATTATTGTTAAAGACTAGATTTTATTTGGATCTAATGAAACATTTACTATATCATCTTTTAGACCAAATTTGATTTCTATTTCTACTTTGAACAAATCCAATTATTCTTGTTCATTTGGGAATGGAAAATTCAGTTTGTTTCATGATTCAAAATTAGTTGGTTCCGATCCTTTATCAGGTTACGATAATCTTTATTCAATTGATATAATTGCTTTTTATAATGAATCCTTGCATGTGAGTACTCGAGGTGTAAAGCGAAAATTAACCGGCAAGAATTTTTTGCCTTATTGTGGCACAAGAGATTAGGTCACATCTCCGAAAGGAGAATTGAAAGACTTGTGCCTGACAGAATTCTTGACCCTCTTAACTTCACAGATTATGATTTGTGTGTCAACTGTATAAAGGGAAAACAAACCAATAAAAGGAAACTTCAAGCCAACAGGACTTCGGACGTCTTAGAACTTATACATATGGATATTTGTGGACCATTCCTTAGGGGTTCATAAAATGTTCAACAATATTTTATA